AATAGTTTTCCCCCATACCGCCAAAACATGTGATCACAGAGTAGGTACCACTGATATACAGTAGGTACATAGTAGGTACATAGTAGGTACATAGTAGGTACATAGTAGGAACATAGTAGGAACATAGTAGGAAAATAGTAGGTACATAGTCGGAACATAGTAGGTACATATTAGTTACATAGTACCTACTCTGTGATCACATGTTTTGGCGGTATTCGGTGAAAGATGGAATGTTCCATTCAACTCGGCTGTCGCCTCGTTGAATGGAACATTCCATCTTTCACCTCATGAAAATATGCTTACCATTGCACGAAGAAACATTCATTATTTGCATACTATGTTTCGTCATAGTCTGTCAAGATATCATGGTCTGGAAGCCACGCAAACTTCAAAGCCACAAAATAGAAGACCTTTCTTTGATGTTGAACTGTATCTCCCCGTGCACAAATCCTTTGTCTCAACTTCGTTAAATATTATTCATCGTGGTTGTACGTTTCATCTCAGCTATCCCTATTGGGCGGTTACTTCATTATACGAAAATACAATAAGCTCAATCACCGTGTCCTGTACAAATTAACCTCAGACAAAAACATAAACACAATGACTTCTGTTTAGTTTCCAGACTATCATATCTTGATAGACTATGGTTTCGTAGGCTAGTTTGCTGTGAGGGCTTAAACTATTTCACTAAACAAATGAAGTAAATATGGACCTATTACGTAATGAACAAAATTTCGATCTAGACAAGTCTAAACAAAAATTTCATCACAGCTTGAAAGAGCATCACAAAATTAGTAATATTCCGAAGTTTCGTTGCGAAATGTTGTAAAATGCGGATAATATAGCCCTGCGAAGTTTGCTGTTTTTCAGTCATTTTGTATTACGCACGGGAAATTGGTACCAATTTCCCGTGCGTAATACAAAATGACTGAAAAACGGCAAACTTCGAAGTGCTATATTATCCGCATTTTACAACATTTCGCAACGAAATTGCGCATACTAATTTTGTGATGCTCTTTCAAGCTGTGATGAAATTTTGTCTAGACCAAAATTTTGTTCATTAGGTAATAGGTCCATTCACCTCTCTACGAGCCTCACGAGGAGACGGAGGGGAAGCACCCAACAATCTTTCGTCTCCATCTGTATCACCATCTGTCATTTCGTCTGGACTTTGAGCACTTCCTGTCTCCTGATTGGACGATGTATTGATCACGTGAGATGGCAGCGCTTTCTCGATTGGTTTTGCCTCAACTTCTCCTGGTCGAAGAGGACGACGAGGTCTGCCAAGAAACAGAGTTTGGTCAAAACTGACTAAACTAACTTTATTTATACTGGATAGGTCTATCAGTTCTAAACTGTTCTTCCTAGAGGTCCAGTAAGGATCATCTCTTATTGATCCAGTATTAGTACAGGAGGAAACCTAAACTAAAATAACTTTATTTATACTGGATAGCTCTATCAGTTATAAACTTGTTCTTCCTAGAGGTCAGGAAGGATCATCTCTTATTGATCCAGTGTTACTACAGGAGGAAACGTAAACTAAACTAACTTTATTTATACTGGATAGCTCTATCAGTTCTAAACTGCTCTTCCTAGAGGTCCAGTGAGGACATAAGCACTGAGAGACATAAGTCACTTCTTTTTTACCTTCGCTGCATTGGGGGTAGTTTTGATGGAGTTATGACTGCTGACAAAGAAAACGGCCTCTACAAAATAATATTGAATTGAATCACCACAGCATAACGACAATGCAGAACTCAACCTTTGCAGAACTTACCACTCTGTTTTCGTCAACAACACCGCGAAGATCGACACCGCCACTGCCAGTTAATAGATACCTGTGAAGTGAGTGAATGATTTCAAATTAACGTGCGACTAACCCCAAATATGATTTTTTTTTGTATTGTAATATTTGGGCCATTCTATAAGAAGAAATGTAATGTATCTTTATAGTAAAAATCCTCATCTTGATCAACTTTTTCACTGTCAAAGTTTCCGTATCTGACGTCATTGGGTGAATCTTTGGTACAAAAAACAAAGGAAAACTAATTTTCAATTCACCTAATGACATCATATCCACAAACCTTGACAGTGAAAAACGCAGATCAGGATGGGATTTTTATTATAAAGATATATTACATTTCTTCTTCGAATGCCCCAAATATTACACATAGAAAAAATCTTATTTGTGGTTAGTCGCACTTTATGCATATGTGGCCCGGGGCGCTGGTCCAACCGGTCACAGAGCCATTATGATCCTTGAAAGTAATCGATATTTTACCAAGAATTTCCAACGAGATTCTTCAAAGCTCCTAAGCATTGTTGTTTCACATCGTTACTTGTGGATGAAAAATACATATTCGTTAAAATGAGGAATCCGTCTGCATCCGCACATCGACCACGGTTGATCGGCGAGGCGAGCATCAGATTGCGTAGAGCTCCAATAGCGAGACACAATAGTTCAATTTCTTGTTTGAAGTCGTTGTTAATCAAATCTGGGAGAAGAAAAGGTAAATATTAAACCTTTTCGTACTCCGAATTCTCCAATTCGCCTCGAGGTTGCGGTTTTGTTTTTGGCTTTTGAACGCAAGGCAATGTCTCTTCTAAAGTGCCGAGGTCGTTCTTTGTTCTAATGGACAACTTGTATGTTAGACTAAATTTTAATCTAAGCCGTAAAGAGAAGGGAATCAAACACGACAGCTAAAAGAACATAACGAAATTAGTAAAATTGCAAAATTTGGTTGCGAAATGTTGTAAAGCTTGGAAAATATAGTCTTGCAAAGTTTGCATATTTTGTATATGTTTGTATTACGTGCGGAAATTGTTACCATTTTCGGCTCAAAAATGGTAACAATTTCCGCACGTAATACAAACATATATTAACAGTTTAGAACTGGTATAGAGCTATCCAGTTTAGGTTTCCTCCTGTACTGTAGTATACACTGGAGCAATACGAAATGATTCACATACCTAACAATATTTTAATGCCACCCAAAAATCCAATTCGTGCTCTTGTTTTGAAGTTAATACTCAAGTTGAGAATCGCACCAATAACTTGTTTACGAATTTCTTTGTTGGGAAGAACGATAAGCTAAAAAAGAGAATACAACAATTCAGTCAGTAGATCGTGCAATTATATGCATGGAAAGTCACTACTCCCAAACTGCTGACGACAACAAAATGTGTAATGAAAAACTGAAAATAGGCTTGACAAATAAGATGATACCTTCAACAAAGCATCGACGCCATTTTTATCCAAAATCTGTAGACGGCTGGCGTTACTTTGATACGCGAGGTTCCTTAGTGCAGCTATAGTGAAGAAAAGGAGCTCAGTTAAGATATCACGTTGTTCATAGTTTTGCAACACAAGACTGTTTTGAAAAAGCGAGATGGTTTTTAATATAGTTTTATTATCTTACCAGCTGTATTTACCAAAACATTGACATCAGACGAAGGTGGTTGAATACCAGTCAAACCGCACAGGCGAGCCTATATTTTGTGAACGAAAAACAGTCGAGCATAATTTTTGGACTATTTTTGCCATTATCGGCAGATCCCTAAATTATTGGAAAGACAATGAAACATCGGGGTCACATTCGACCAGTTCTGGTCACCATGCTTGTCTTTTAGGCTTGGGAGACTCGGGTTTAATCCTTGGTCGGATCTCTACTCAAGGTCTTAAAATAATTGAGGAGAAAGTGCTACCTTTACTTTGACATCAGTAACTCAGTAAATGGTTAGACTTTCGCGTCTTCTTGGATATAAGGACGTTAAATCAACCCCTTTCAATTGGGCAATAGCCCGGTGTTGGGAAATCCGCTCACCAATGACTGAGACTAAAAACTCAATAAACTTAATCATGACTGCGTGGTACTGTTATATACTATCCAGAGAGCTCTGTTACCTGAAATGGTTCTTGTCTACCCAATGCCGTTATCCGAGTAACGCAATTCAGTGGAACAACATTTTTAAAGCCGTAATCGACAGCGAACAATTCCAACACGATTTCGTCTTGCGTGCGGAAAACTTGTAAAATTTTGCCGCGGTAAACATCCTGGTGTCCTCCTACCATCGTTTTACAGCAAACCAGTTCGCCAACCTCGGGGACCGTCGTGAATTTCGCTTGATCCTGAGGTATTAAACAAAATAAATGTGTCATTTTTGTACACACAAGTCTGAGGGTTTGTTTGAACAGTGGTTAATTGTAATCTACATGCGTCGTTCATGTTTGTGACCAGATTACAGACTGAAGTGTTTTGCGCAGGAAAGATTTTTTCCTTGGGAAAAATGCGCAGAAATGTCAGATATTTTCATAGAAAATTCATGGCAGGCCAAGGGATTCCGCAGTCAGAAAGTGTTTTTGTCGGATAGGAAGATCAGAAATTTGCTTGGTTCCCGGTTCACAAACTGGCATTTTGTCCAGATTCGTCAGAAATTATTTGCAGGTTTTTTTTTACAACTTGAAAATTTTTTCCTCAGATTTCCAGAATTGTAATAATTTTTGCGCAGGAAATTTATTTCCTCCAAAGACAAAATATTACAGTGTGGAGCAGATTTCGATTCCTACAATATCCAGTGGTCTAGTGTTCAAACACGGTCCAGTGCTCCAACCAACTGAGCTGTCTAGTCCAGTTGTCAAGGCTGTCAAGCTCTAACTGCATGTTCATATCCAAGTATGCCGAATTTTTCATGTAAACTTAACCAACAAAGGCCTTACTGGGCCCTCTCTGACATGATCGCTAAATACACTTGCCTCTTTCAGAAGTGTAAGTGATATGTTTCTTAGCTTTTCATCGACAGTTTCTCCGCCAACTTGAGCCCAGAAATGTCCCCCATCAATGACACTCGTGACAGTTATGTCCGCCCAGATCTGTTCTTCCCTGCCCTGGTAAAAGTTACACAAGTTCATTCATAAATTATTCATAAATTATGTTTTTAACCAGTATTATTAGCCAGGTACCTTATTTTTTGCAAATATTTTCGCTTCTTTTTCTGGTGACAAAAATTTTGGCCACGCCATATTTTCCTTGACCAGCTCTTCTCGTATTACGATATCCTGATCTGTTCTCGTGTCATAGAGGTCCACAGATAGCACACAAACGTTTGTGTCTTTTTCAAATATTTCTGCTTACAAGTAAAGAAAATTAAATATAGGCTCTCAGTGTTATACTCAAATTTGTTAGTGTCCACCTTACCGCCTGACCGACCAATAGGTGCAGTTACCCAACAAAGTTTTGGACCTACCTTTTGCTTCTGATGCTTCAACGACTTTCATACTTGCCTCAGGAAACATTTCTCTTACATTCCCAATGAGTTTACGGCCATGTGCAAGATCGTGAAAATAGGACGTAGCCCTCGGTGGGTATCCCAAGTTGCCATAGCAACAACTGGTATGCCGAGAGTCGTCAAAAAATATCCCACAAAGTTCAATCAACTGTCCGATGAGATCAATACTCGCCACTTCCGGCATGGCACATTCTGAACTCAGTACGAGGGTTTTAATTAGAGCGACCGCTTGATTGTGTAAAGCTAGGTGTGATTTCTTGTCGTGTTTACCTACAATTGGTGGATTTCAGAAAGCACGGTTACAAAACAACAGATAATGGTCAAGTTGTCTAGCAAATTAAACTATATTACTTGTTTCAAAATACAAGATTTCTACTTATAATGAAAATAATTAACATCTGAGTACTAACTAATGAGCTAATTAGTGATAAATTAAATTAAAGTGAAATAATGATAATTATATAATGTTACTTGAATATACAGTGTCATACCATCGTCTTCGAATGGAGAGCACAGTTTCATCAACTTTCGGAGAAAACCCATTGGCTTACACAGTTTCCGGATTAATTCATGATTGTCTGTAACGAGCCTCGTTATGAGACTCAGAGCACTTGAACACACATCAATGTCAGTTGAACCTGTTAGATCTGAAATGATAGGCACAACTAACTTAGGGTGGATTTCCAATAGACCCATTGCACATGACTTCATAGTGCCGGTGACGATGCAGATGGACAAATTAGCAATCTATGCATATAATATAACTTTTGTAAACAAAGCAAATTTTGTAAAAGTTTATAATATTTTGTATTAAAATGTTTAGTTTTTGCGCTGTATGATGTGGTTGTTGTACCCAAACAAATATTGTTAGGGAGCATCTGGAGGACAATTGACAGTTGGTGGTGGTTGGACAGCCAGGCTGGCAAAGGAACTTTGTTTGGTCATAGGTACCCTAGCTGAGGTTACAAGATCAATGTGAGTATGGGGTACTGTAGTCCGAAGCAGGCAACCACGATTGATGAACTGGAATAGGCTTAGTTTAGCTGGTTAGGGGTATGGTTAGAATTAGGGGTCAGGGATTAAGATTAAAGTTAGGATTATAATATGATTAGTCGGATCGGATTAAGGTTCAGATTAGAATTATGGTACTAAATAAAAATAATGCACTTTATTTCATTGGATGACTGGATTCACACAAAGTAATTTTCGTCCAGGCCCAACATTTGAAACTATTTACATATACACGTATATCACACACAATGATATATATCTCAGACTATATACTAGTCTTGACATCATAAAGAACTACAGTACCTATTCTAATTGGTATTTACAAATCATTCTAGGGGTGAGTTTTTAAACTGAGTTAATATTAATATGGAAACTGCCTCTGAATTTCTGTTTAAAATATATTCGCGTCAAATCTACCCACCACGCAAAATTTCCACGAGTCCTTGACCAATATATTGATCGCACAACACAATGTCGTGTAAATTCTCTCCGAAACGCGCTAAAATACGACAAATTTCATCGCCATTTGTTGCACGTCGCAAAGCTTTTATATCGTCTGCCATCTGGAGCGATCTGCTTTTATAAAATGCGTCCAATTTTCTATTTACAATCTCACATGTGCTTTTTCAGAAGTAGTAAATATTTTAAATTTCGACCATTGATCTTTCCGCGCGAGACGTGTGCGTTTACACCGCGCGACAGGCTTCGATTCACTTGCAATTAATGGTTTTTAGACTTTTTAATTTTTTGGCAAATTTCCTACTTTTTAATGTCATTTTTCTGTTCCTACCCTAAAACTTTCCGTAATCCTAACCGACCCTGCAAAGTTAATAGATTTCTAAATTTAATTTTCTTTGAAAATGACCTTATTTTTGTCGCGTGACGTACACGCGTTTTCGAACGGCGAAAATCACGCGTCTCGCGAGTTGCCTTCCTCTTGATTTTGTGTCGTTCAAAGTGTTGAGTTCTCATTGTGAGCTAAGGCAACTAAATCCTTTTCAATCCTATTGAAAGGAAAGCAACCTGCACTATTTTTGAATTTAGAACAAAAGTTCAAAACCTTTCAAACAAGAATACACAATGTCTTCCGAACTCGCTTGCGTTTACAGCGCTTTAATCCTTCATGACGATGAGGTTCCCATCACGGTAGGGCTTTGATATAGTGTTTGAAGTTTAGTTATGGTAGAATAGGGGTCTTTAGGGCCTACTAGTGGTTACTCTAAGTTTATAACTTTATTATATAAAACATATATTTATAGATTCTAGTATTCTACGATTTATTAAGGTTTATTTATAGCTTGTAAAGTATATTTTCTTGTATATTTGTCTGTGTCAGTATAGGTAGTGCCGATATAAATATGAACAAGCTTTCGTTGGTATGGATGCAACTACCTGAAAATAATAAATATATAAGGAGAATTTCTCTGTATATTTTTCAGGTACACCAACGAAAGCTTGTTCATATTTTCGTGATGTATTTAAGTGTATTATAGATGTATTTAAGTGTATTATAAAGTTCCATAATTACGGCCTAATGCGCCACTTTGTTACTTTACTCCATCTAATGCCAGACGATTGTACTTGTCAAAGGGGAGTGCTGGCACTCGCTATCACATTTCGTTTAGTTTTTTGTTCGTTTTTGACGCAGGGTGAGAAAATCCAGGCCTTACTGGACGCAGCAGGCGTAACAGTCGAACCGTTCTGGCCCGGTATGTTCGCCAAGGCATTGGAAGGCCGTAACATCGGAGACCTGCTCTGCAGCGTGGGTACACCAGGTGGCGGAGGTGCATCTGCGGGTGGAGCAGCTGCGGGAGGGGGTGACGCCCAGGCCGAGGAAAAGACGGAAGAGAAAAAAGAAGAGAAGAAGGAGGAATCTGAGGAGTCGGATGACGATATGGGATTCGGTACGTTCACCCCCTTCCCCCAAGAACATACCCCCTTAGGAAAAGTGCACTAGAACTGCCCTAATTCCTCTCCCGAAGAAAAAATTAAGCACCCCCTCAAAAGCTAGTATTCTCAGATCCGTGAGTTTCTCTGATTTACTGCCGGGTAAATCCCCCTCCCCCCAGAAATACATCTCCCTTCCCCAAGTAATAAATCCCCCTCCCCTCACCAAAACCCAGAAAACATCAACTCCCTTCATGGAAATAACTACCAGTCAAAACATTTGTTAAACAAATAAACATGATGTCTTCCACATAAAAGACAATGATATTTATCACTATACAAACAAGCAAGAAGATTATCAAGAAACTAACAAAATTTCTTTTTCTTTTTTAGGTTTATTTGATTAGAAGACCATTGTAGTAATATCTTGTATGTGGAAATAAATAAATTTCTCAGAAAAACATTTAGACTGTCTTCATTATAATATGCCTCCAAGATAATTAGATATTGTTTGTAAATTTTCCAAGTACTATTAATGATACGTCAGACGCGGTGATACATCTGCAATGAGACCTATCAGAGGTGGGAAAGTTTTGTAATTTGAACCTGGGAACCCTTGTAGTTCCCAGAAATTTTTTTGAGATCTACATTTTTGCAGAAATTGTCACAAGACATTTTTTTAAGTTTGATAGCTAATTCTGAAAATTACTAAAATATGTAAATTACTAAATACTTGATTATTGGAATGACTGAATGACTGCATGTGCCTGAAGCTAACTGCAATCCTTGGTCAGAACGTCTTATGCATGCTTAAGTAAGGTAGAAAATTTCAAGAACTCCCTTTTCAAATGCCAGAATTCCATTTTCAAAAGCCAGAACTGCGTTTTCAAATGCAAAAACTCCGTTTTCAAATGCCAGAACTCCGTATTCAAATGCCAGAACTCCGTATTCAAATACCATAACTCCGTATTCAAATGCCAGAGCTCCGTTTTCAAAAGCCAGAACTCCATTTTCGGCTTGATATATGAACATTTTCGACCAATTGCGTTTGAGCAAATTAGGAGACACGCACATTTCTGAGCTGCCTATATGGCTATGGATGCCTTAATTATCAGTTTAAAGACATATTGCTTCACACGACAACATGTATCTTAACATAATCCATGGCATGTATCTGTGAGGTAAAAAAAGACCGTCACAAATGACAATTTTGTTGTTTTTCCCTACATCAATACTGTTATGTTTTGCAGAAAATTTTTAGCACTAAACCCAGATTCTGAAAGAAGAAAACATATTTTTTTACCTTTGAGAGTTTATTTTAAGCAATATCAATTACCATAATTGCACCACAGTATTACAATTCATGAATATGAAATTTATGTACGCGGCGGCTTTATATATATACGTCCGACACACATTACATGTACACTTGCAACATTCAGTGACTCACGTAAGAAATTAGCGACCTGCGCTACTTTTAAATATGAAACATAACTCAAATATGAAACATAACTAAAAAAAATGACAATATGGTGCTGGTCCCCTGTCGCAATTTGCAAGCTTCAAGCGAAACGGGCAAGTTTGGACCACGCAGGGTTAACTGAAAATTTTTTTGGCTACCATCAAGAATATTCATATAATCTGCAGTATAGGAAATTTGTGAAAATCTTGCCTCAGTACTTTCAGTTTTTAAATAAATTGTCATGCTTGCCAACCTTGTCATGCTTGCCCGATTTTAGGGACCGCCTGCCATGCAGGCTAACTTGTCATAATACTAAATTATGCGCGAGCTTTCGAAACTTTTCCAAGCTTTGAGACTGTGAGAAACAAATACCACGCATTTCTGAGCTGTCTATATGGTTATGGTGCCTGATTATCAGTCTAAAGACATATTGCTTCACACGACAACATATATCAGTAATCAACATAATCCATGGCATGTATCATTTTCGACCAATTGCGTTTGAGCAAATTAGGAGACACTCAATTTTGACAATATGAAACATAACTCAAAAAATGTATTCGGTGCCTGGTCCCTGTCGCAATTTGCAAGCTTCAAGCGAAGCGACCAAATTTGGACCACGCAGGGCTAACTGAAAATTTTGTTTTGGCTGCAGGTGATGAATATTTTTTGCAGGTAGTAGGAAATGTGTGAAAATCTATCTGCTTTAATACATTGTTTATTTTTATGAATTATTCATACTTTGGTATAAGCGTTGTAATAAATTTCAGTTCAAAATCTTGCCAACCTTGTCATAATAAGCGAAATAGACTCGTATGTCTTATCTGACTCGCATGTCTTTTACCTGTGAGGTAAAAAAGACAATTTTGTTGTTTTTCCCTACATCAATATTGTTATGTTTTGCAGAAAATTTTTGGCGAAAGAAGAAAATACTTTTTACCTTTGAGAGTTTATTTTAAGCAATTTTCAATTACCATAATTGCACCACAGTATTACAATTCATGAATATGAAATTTATGTACGCGGCGCTTTAGATATATATATACGTCCGACACATTACGCTTGCAACATTCAGTGACTCGCGTAAGAAATTAGCAACCTGCACAACATTTGAACTTGGAACAAGGAAAAGATGTCTTCTAGTTCCGAACTCGCTTGCGTTTACAGCGCCTTAATCCTCTACGACGATGGAATTCCGATCACGGTAAGGCGGGAAAGATTATTCTTTAAATTAGAATAGAGACGCTATTTTCCGAGGAATTATTGCAACGGAGAGATGTTGTTTCCATTGAGTATCGAGTCAACGGGGATTGGTAGCGAGTCTTATCCAATTTAAGTGCACGAAATATTTCGTGACGATTAACGCTTGTCTTAAGGCCGGATTCCACGAGGCGGAATTTTTCGACCGAAACGAAATTTCTCTTTGTCTTTTTACAATTAGTTCTGCTCGAGAGCTCTGAAACAAAGAGAAATTTCGATTCGGTCGAAAAATTTCGCTTAGTGGAAAACCACCTTTAGAGGACGCGCAGTGTTTCGATTCTATTTCATCAATTTCATGTTTCATTCACTGTTTCAATTCTATATCCTCGAGCCAACGAATTTTTCGTTGGTCTATTCGGCCGTGTCGGAATAATATGAAACAGTGTCGTACATTAAATTCTTTTGTTTAATTAAATTAATCGTATTTGACGCAGGGCGAGAAAATCCAAGCCTTACTGGATGCAGCAGGCGTCACAGTCGAACCGGTCTGGCCCGGTATGTTTGCCAAGGCATTGGAAGGCCGTAACATCGGAGACCTGCTCTGCAGCGTGGGCACACAGCCGGGTGGAGGCGGTGGGGTACGTGGTGCGGGAGAAGCAGATGCAGGAGGGGGTGACGCCCAGGCCAAGGAGGAGGCGGAGAAGAAAGAAGAAATGGAGGAGGAATCTGAGGAGTCTGATGAAGAGGCGATGTTCAGCTGTAGGTTTGATTTTCTGTAGGTTCGATGTTCAGAAGTTGATCAGCTAACACTAAAATTCAAAGCACATTTTCTTACATCTTGTCTATAAATTTGGAAATATTTCTTCTGAAATCTCCTCGGGATCATTAGGAGTTTTCTTCTCTGAAGTTTTGAAATAAACAGACGTACAGAAATACACAAACTAAAACATGCAGCAGTATAAATTTTAACCTGGGATTATAGCGCTAATCTGACCCACCTTTGAACAAACTGGCCGCTGGGATTAACTCCCATTTCCCTCATGACCCTGGAAAGTCAAACTACGGCACGTGAAAACGCACAAGTTGTTACAAATCTGTTCACAAGCTGTGGACAAGTTGTGTTCGCACTGTTTGTTCCTAGTTGTTGTAACAAGTTTGGAACGAACTGTTATCAATTTGTAACAAGCTTGATGGCATTGTCAGACTTAATTGTTACAAGGTTGTTCTAACAAGTTTGATACAGTCATGATATAACAAGAATGTTACAAGATGACGACTCAAGGTTGTAACAACATTGTTAGATCGTGTCTGCATCGTGACTGTATCAGACTTGTTGGAATAACCTTGCAACAAGCCTGATAATATTATAAACGAAGTTGCTACTTGTTGTTAACAGCTTGTTGGCAGACTTGCTGCAAGATGCGAGACTTTTCCGTGTGTGCAGCGCAAATAATTATCGCACCCTGAAATTGAGCTGTGCTTTATTTTCTTGTAGGGCTATTATTCGATGACTGAAGACGATTGTGGCAAGCTCATGTGTTTATTTAATATTTATTTATTTAACTTCGCCAATACGCAATAATACCAACAGTTGTAACTCATAAAATACATGCACATATTAAAAATAACAGGGAAGGCAACAGAATTAATGTAAGCCTTTGCATGAAATACGTTGTATGTGAGAATAAATAAATTTCAGAAAAACTGTTTGAATTGTTGTCTTCATTATAATAAATTATTTTCCTTTATTTTCTACAAAATTGACAACCGTGTCGGGTATTCTACGGGCTGACCAATCGTTCTGTTCAGCATTTCATATTCGTTAATTAAATAATTAAGCGATTCTAAACTGTCGTCAAAAATAAACGGTTCGAAACCATCCACATTGTTATAATGATGAATATGTGCCTTCCTTCTGTACAACTTCATAAAACGTTGCTTTAAATTATGGAAAGTATTTTGGATACAAGTGTTGTTTGCAAGCGATAGTAACGAATAAGGTTGCCCAACTGGTGCAACCGAACACAGGCCAGTCTTCCACCCTTCCTCATTCCAATTAATAAACTTGAGATTAGGCTTGAGTCTTTCTATATTTCGTCTAATGTCAGACACCTCTGCTTTGCCACGAACTATAAGCGCACACGCCAGATAAAGGCTTTGTTTCGGATTAGCTTTTATAAGTTGGTAATCCTTGGAGAAAGCATCGGTGAACATTTGATCTAGCCGTCCAACGGGAAGGTTTACGTCGATAAGAGAATACAGAGGTGTTAGGCTGGACACAAGATAATGTAGTTTTGGAAATGGTACAAGGTTCATTGTTATTTCATTCAGGTCTACATTCAAAGACCCTTCAAACCTTGCCGAGCTTGTCATGTTTAGCAGTAGGTTTGCAACAATATTGTTCATGTGATCAAATGGTTTTTCCTGGGATGGTTTGGTTGCTCCTTTTTCACTCGATGTGATTGCACTGGTCTCTTTGACTTGCGTCTCTTTGCTTGGGTAGACTTTCTTGCCTGGCCTACTTGGAGGCATGGCATCGTAGATTTTGTTTGTTATGTCAATCAGAGCCTGTAAAATATAGACTGTCAGTTAAGTTATTTTGAAAATAACTATAATATGTGATGCCACAATGCACCCCCAATAACCTTGCTTAGTTATGGTAAAGTTCTTGCAGTTTAATAGGTCAACAGACCATGCCAGATTAGCCATATGTCTCTTGTTAAAATGGCAATATGGCCCAATTTATATTTCACACTGGGCCCTAAATGCCAGCTAATTTTACTTGTCAAGCAAAAATGTTGAGCATTAATGGATTAAAAACCATAGTTTATACTGTGCAGCAAATATCTATGCTGATCAATCCTATTCACCTGATTTTCAATGGGTAGCACACAGTCTGCTTTCTCTGTCAATTGATGCATTGCAAGAACACTGAAGAAAAGTAAAAGCAAAGGAAATCATTCACCCATTGAAAGACTGACAGATAGAGCATATTACAAGAACAATTTAATACAAGGTCATGTTGCAACAGTTTCTTAACAAAAAGCACATTGAGAGGAAGTCTTATTAATTAATACAGACATTCTTCAAGGCGAATTTTGTCTTGACTGTGTCCTATCTTGCTTTGTGACGTTGGGCCCACCTGTTATATGGTGATGTAATCACATCGTCGTCATCCGACGGATAAACAGCCGTAGTAAAGCGATACACATCTGGGTAGTTTTCCTCCAAAAGACCCAGTACATTGGTCCCTACACCCGAGCCAGTACCTAGAAAAGATAAAGACAGAAATAAATTATTGGTGCTGCGGGGGTTAGCAGAATGTACCTTTCATCTTTGAGGTCCGATTCCTGCATTGTGTAGTTTAGGCTGACTATAATTTCACATTCCAGTTTGACTCTACAAAGTACTACAGGTCATGACTGGCCTCGCAATTAAGAACAGTTTACAACTGATAATTAATCCAGTATGAATAAAGTTGAATGATGATGCTACTTTAGTATATGTTACCTCCTCCCATAGAATGTAGCAGAAAGAAACACTGCAGGGAATCGCACAACTCTACAGCGTGACGTATCGTCTCTAAAATTGTATCATGATATTGACTGCCATACATCATATAACCAGTTGCCCTAAAATAAAATGGTGACAATTTCCCAAATTACCAGAAAAATAAAGGAATAAGATATAACTGTTGCTTCGGAACTTCCATATATGTCTGCACTTATTAATAAAGATGTCTGTGGATAGGATGTCCACTACTTAACAGAGGATCGACTGTGTACCAATTATTTCCACATCCAGAGACGTCAGTGATAAGTTGTTTGCAATCGAAGATATCTTGTAGTGGTCCATTTAGCGTTTCATTGACCACTCCTTCCTCCATGTCAATCAACACAGCCTGGGCAAGAATTATATAGTTATCAAACAGTATTTATTTATACTGGATCTAGCTCTATCATGTTCTGTTAAGCTGTTCTGACCCCAGAGTCCAGGAAGATTGAAGCCCCGTCAAAACTACGCACAATTTTTGGTATGGCAGAGATAAAATTGGTACCTGTACCACTTTATTGGTTCTTGGACTACCTATTTAGGTAGTCCAAAAAGTGGTACGGTACCAAAAATTGAGCGTAGTGTAAACAGGCTTAGCTAAATAGGTAGTCCAAGAACCAAAAAAGTGGTACGGCAACCAATTTTACCCGCGCCGTACCAAAACTTGAGTGTAGTGTAAACAGGGCTTGAGTCATCCCTTATTTGTCCAGTGGGTAACCAGGAGACAACCTTAATTTTGTTTGCCATAATCGTAGATTGAAACAAACTGGAAGTATTTCTTGGAACTATGGTGAAATGATAACCAGAAGACTGTATATTACAGGAATTGAACCCAGGAATCAAAACATCTTGTCCACGTGCACTTACTCTAGCTTTGAGGCTTCTAATCTTCCCTTTCCCATCTCCGACAGGTATGTCTTTGGGATCCTCATACCTTGATTAATTGAAATATTGAAATTATTGGACTAAATGTATAAGCTGGCATGATGCAAATATAATAGCCCACCTGGTGTCTACATTTCTAAAGAAGCTGCTCAGAGATTCATCGTATCTCCCAGACTAAATAAAGATGAGATATTGATCGACCTGTTTTATAGACATTTATAGTTTTTGGCAAGAAATATACGTATAATGGTGATGACACTACCTTATTTATACTTGCATGCTCTCGCAAAGCCAGATCCCAAAAACGACACCCTATCTAATGTACAAAAGTGATATATTGATAATGCGTTTAACCGAGTTATATTTGGACAAAAAAGTACAACTTTTTATGTATGGTAACACTACCTGATTGCCACATTGCCCAACTATAAAAAATTACAAAAAAAAATAAGGCATTAAAAACCGTAATTTTTGGGAATCAAAATAAATTAAACAATTTCTTACTAATCTACCTTGAACTACAATAGATTGTGTCATTTGAAGCTTTCTAGATCAGTAAAAAACTACAAATTTGTTTTCGTCCAAAATATAGATTTTCAAAATATTAAAAGAGGGAAAAAAGTAAACAAAAACAAAGAGACGACAGTATACGATAATAAGCCGAGGGAAAGCCGAAGAATCTTCGGAAATTATTCGGACCATACTCGTACTATTATGACGTCATATTCATAACCATAGCAACGTAATTTACGAGAAACCTGACGCAAATTTTGTTAACTTCCGAAAATTAAAAATGGGAGACATTTGGTTTTGCGCTCTGATTATTATATTTGCATATTTTGCGCAATTTGTTGCGCATGAGCAAACGCGCGTTACATTGGTTCCGTTATCTGGAAACGCATTTAATGATAATTTTTCTGCCGAAGAATTAAAGATGGTACCACCACAAAGTGGACGAAAAGGGTTGACAACGAAAGGCTCAGGTCCAGGAATGAATTTGCGCGGTGAAAAGCGCTATCAAACTCGTGAGTATATATTTATAAACTTGTTCTTTTCGGGCTGAGGTTTATTGAAATCGCCTCTTTTTGTGTCTGAAAAACACTTCGGGATTTCGATTGTTCTCTTTTCTCGTTTGATAATGGTCGCCTGTATTTTCTGGATGTATTTCCTTCGAGACCAACTGAAATTTTAGTCACGAAAGGACTGATTAAAAAACACGGTAAGAGTGCAACAATGAAACACAGGGTTTTCACCACCGTAGACCAGTTTAATTCTTGTTGAATATTTTTTAGTAAATTGTGAAACAAGTGGTCGAACTACTATGGCAAGTCATAGAGCGAATTCTAGTTTTGATACAACGGTATGGGCGTTTGGTGCTGCCTATCTTACTTGGAGTAATATGAAGTCTATAATTGGGTTATTTCTTTATGGTTACATCTTGAAATTTGCCCTTGAAATATTACGAGACTGCAGGTAAGCAAACGCTACGACTGATTTTGATGGTCTTTGATGACAACTGTAACCTTGTAACTGTAAACCTTAACTGACTTCATTTACACTTGATAACCTTAACTATAATCTTATCATTTCTAAGCCTGTTCTTCCTTAGAGACCCAGTGAGAATCATTTCTTATATATCTAGTGTTGTCACAGGAGAAGACCAGGGGAAACGTGTTGGGTTTGGTGGGGTCAAATTGGAAGAAATCCTTACATGAAATTACAGTTGGGCAACAGCTGCTTGCTGTAGTAATCGAAGAGATGGTGTCATATACAACCAAGTGCGCCATGCACAAACTATTCGTCAAGCCCATTACAAACAGAACAAAACAGAAATAATGAACAACTACTCGCATTCATATTTGTTATATTTCATGATCAATTCTATTCAATCTGCAGATCTATTGATACGAATATTGGGAATGAAGAAAACCTGCACCCACTTGCCCAATTGAAAAAAAGTTTATCCCATCTGAAAACCTTACTCACAAAAGAAGACAACAGCCTCAGACCTAAAGATCCACACTCACACAAAACGACTGACATCATCAACTGCTCTGATTTCGCGTCCGAATCTAGCATCGAAATATCTGAATCGGAGGAAAGCTCTGTTCTCATAATACCGCACTTGTCTAGTAGTCAGACTAGCTCGAGCTCATTAACATCCACTGCGTCATATGTGCGCAAAAGCGGGATATTGGCATCTACTGCGTCATTTGTGCGCAAAAGCGGGGGATGTTTTGGGCTGATCTATGATTTTAACTGTTTCCCACTATATATATACTCATCACCAAATTTGAACCAAAATTCAGACGACGCTTTTGGCGAGGTCTTTCTACAACGTCCATCCATGCGGAATAGTTGGTTAATAGCGCAGTCCATTCCTAGCGTATTTTATGTGAATCAAAAGAAAAGATGGTATTCAAAGGGGACAATTAATTACGTGAGCTCTACTAGCAGCAAGGATCATTGTAAGAGATGGCAGTTAGCCGAGAGTTATGAGCAGTGCCATTCAAAGAGTTTGTCGTCTCTACGGAACGAAAGTCACTACGTTAGATCGTCAAGTATAATAAGTGTTGCAGACTATTTTACTCTAAAATTAAACGGAGAAACTGCAAAGGAAAATGAGGTTGTTAATCAGAGGAGGTGTAGGTCATCTGTTGAGGATTTTAGCGTACCTGGAAATGGTTTTCCTGCGGACGAAACGCGGTATCTTTCATCGCCTAATATAATATACCCAAGCTTTGACAAACCCTTGTCACAAGACGTCGATGAGGACCTGAATATCATTGATGACGTTAGGGACGAAGGTAAAGTTGATGATATCTCTTACGGAGGTAGAATCACACACTCTGTTACATGCACGCCTGCAACAGGCTTGCTACAAGTGTTCCAAAAAATAGATGACATCATCACTGTCTTCGTCTGTTCGTTCCCAGCTTGATGACAAATTGTTTGAAGATTCATGACTCAACATGCACGCAACACCTAGTTGAAAAGAGGGTTTGAAATGGATTAACTGCAGACTACTGATATATTTACCCGTGTTTTGAATGACAACTGACGAATATCTTAAGTTCTTAACCTACTTAACTGCCGGGTAGCTCACAAACGATGAAAGAGCAATTTGATAGCCGACAAGTGGCTTGAATTTTAGCTGAAAATTGACATTCAAAGACACGTTTTGCATTTGCAGGTGGAAGTGGAACATGGCAACTAAATGATAGTTGCGACAATCAACAGCAGCTGAACGTAACGGAAAATGAAAGTTCATTTCTCGACATGGTAAGAATCGATTTTTGATGAAAATTCATCTTTAACTTATTTATTTAAAAAATTTTTGTTTTTCTCTTCACCCAGCTAAAAGACATATGGACTGATATTAAAGTCGAAAGTCATCATCAGATTATTGTGCCGCTATTACTGCACACGGCAAAGACGTGTTTTCTTGAATTTGGCGTGAATTAATGAATTATTCCTGAATGATAAGTCAATATAGTCCAGCGCACAGTTTCGAACGTAAGTGCGTTTGTTTCAAACAAACACTATAAATATAAAACACTGGGTAAAATTACGATCAATTATGGAACAGAGAGGGGTAAGTGTTAGTTTTTTTTATGAGGGGAGAAGGGGGGGGGGGGTCATAGGACAGAACCAACATAACTTTACTTGTTTGCTAACACAAGTTTTCAAACAACGGCATACATTGCGCGGCAGTGGTGCAATTCAGAGTCCCCCAGAGCTCCACCGTGCGCCATTATGTGGAAGACTAGACCCCACTTGCTTTCTTCATCGAGAAATGCATTGTGGGATTCGTTCTCTTTTTGCCTCGTGTACTTTTTCAAAAGCAATTTGATTTTTGGTGTGTACTTCTCAGCGATTTTGTGCCCGTTTTAATGCCCCGATCTTTGTAAATTTTATAGAATATTCAAGATTAGTTCTTGTATTTTATAGGGAGAGGCGTTTTAAGTCGATTTCAAGATGGTTACCGCTAAAAAGGCGGTAAGTATTTTCATGATTGGCTGTCATGACTCATGAGTTACAAATTTTCATTGAAGGTTTTCATTGTTGTAGTTTGTAGCGTGTATTTGCTATGGTGGAGGCATTGCATTATGCCTGAGAAACCTGATAATACTGAAATATATATTTCATCTTATCAGGAGCTCTGGTTGAGTTGTAGTTTACTTTGCCTGTTGTTAAATTTTGAAGCTTGAGTGATTCTTTTCAGTGCGATGTTTGGTAAGTATTGAATAGGTCTGAATAGGCGACACCAACCATGCTTTCTTCTATTGACACATAGGTTTTCTATGAATAATAGTTGGCCAATGTGCAAACTATGGGCGCTTTCCATTTGACGTAAATCTTGCTTGAAAATCAAATGGAACACGTTAATTTCTGGAAATGCTGTTTCGAAAATTTCGGACATGAGTCTCTCAAGGTTGTCCACAAATTGGAAATTCCGTAAGTTTCCAAATTGTTACATTCCATTAAAACATTTCCCAACCATGTTGCCCCTTTCCAGTCTTCGACGAGCAAAAACCGCCACCAAAACCAAAATGGAGGGTTCTCAACCATTTCAGTGCCTCGAGTCTGAATTTATTTTGCCGAATGCTGAAAGAAGAGATTTGAGCGGCAGTGTCAAATTCTTCAAAATTAAAGAAACCGCATTCCAGAAATTAACATGTTCCACAGGATTTCCGTCAAATGGAAAACGTGCAACAAGCCTCCCATTATTTACAAGGCCAGTGATATTCTTCCTGAAATGATGACCATGTGCATTTCTGAAGAGCAGAGGTTTTGCTCTTTGTTGTTTACACACGAAACTCTCGATCTGATTGGGAAGAATAGGTATAAAAATTGGTTTAAAGTCATTATATCTGTGATCTATCCTATCATAGAAAAAGTTGTAATACAATCACAAGCGTCTGCGTCATGCTTTGATGCGCTGCATTGATCATGTTGTCTTACCTTGGGGACAAAATTATAAGCCAAATAATATCTGCCATAATCTGGGCTTTCAGAATTATTCAGAGTAGACATCTGTTTTGATAAAGAAGGGGGCGGTCTAAAATTTGAGACTTGGAAAATTGATTGACCCCTCAATTTCCATAGCTCACCCCCACCTATACTTCATGACCAGTCACTTGCTTTCATTCTTCAACAAAGTAACTTCAAGATTTAAGATGGCAAATAACTAAATCAGTTTTACAAAATAGTATGTCATTTTCGAAAATAACCAGGCTATATAAAGTGGACCAAGTTGAGGAAAAATAACTTTGTTTAAATGCTCAGAGTGGAGGAAGGAGAGCAGAATTGATAATTCAAGAACTAAACACAGTAACCAGCGGTAAACGTCATGCCACCCGCTGGAACTCCGGCGGTCGCCGGGTTATTTTGAAAGCCCTGCATAATCCCTTGTGTTGTGAACCAATGTTGCCGGAGATTTGAGCTGTAAAGCAGCCAGAGCTGAAAAACTGGAGTTTGCACAGCACTATAATCTGCCTCTACTATAAATCAGGACATGACTTATCTTATCTATATCCATTTGTAGAAAAAGTCTCAAGAAAGCATCAACTCACGTCTTCAACTTGTTATGAAAAGTGGTAAATACACTTTGGGCTACAAGTCGACTCTGAAGACACTCCGACAAGGAAAGGCTAAGTTGGTTATCATCTCAAATAACACTCCTCAACTGAGGTATGTTGGGAAAATGTTAAACTAACTTTATTTATACTGGATAGCTCTATCAGTTCTAAACTGTTCTTCCTTGAGGTCCAGTAAGGATCATCTCTTATTGATCCAGTGTTACTACAGGAGGAAACCTAAACTACACTAACTTTATTTATACTGGATAGCTCTATCAGTTCTAAACTGTTCTTCCTTGAGGTCCAGTAAGGATCATCTCTTATTGATCCAGTGTTACTACAGGAGGAAACCTAAACTAAACTGTATTTATTTATACTGGATAGCTCTATCAGTTCTAAACTGTTCTTCCTAGAGGTCCAGTAAGGATCATCTCTTATTGATCCAGTGTTACTACAGGAGGAAACCTAAACTAAACTAACTGTATTTATACTGGATAGCTCTATCAGTTCTAAACTGTTCTCCCTAGAGGTCCAGTAAGGATCATCTCTTATTGATCCAGTGTTACTACAGGAGGAAACCTAAACCAACTTTATTTATACTGGCTTAAAAAAATAATTTTTTCCCCTCGACAGGAAAAGTGAGATTGAGTACTATGCAATGTTGGCAAAGACAGGTGTCCATCACTACACTGGCAACAACATTGAGCTGGGAACCGCCTGCGGAAAATATTTCAGAGTATCTGTGCTGAGCATCACCGACCCTGGAGACTCGGACATTATCCGAACCATGCCAACCGGCCAAGAGTCGCAAGACAAGTAGAATTGTTGCAGGGTTGTAAGTGACATTGCGTGAAATGAATAAAATAAAATAAGAATATTGTGTGCTGTTGTTTGTTAAATGTCATTATATTTGATGATGGATTGTACCAGGGTGAGGCAATTTTAATAAAAATGACGAGTGCACCGGTTTTTGCTACTCAAGCGTGTGCGAATCGAAGCCCTTTTAGATCGCTGGTCATCGTTATAGACGTTTTCCCATACATGTGTAAACACAAGACTTGATTTTTTGTAATGGACCTGGATAAGTATAGTATAAACTCTCTTTTAGTTTAATCATGAAAGCGTCATTTGAATATACCGATTTTGTCAGAGTGATTTTGCTGTAATACCGATGTTTTCCTGGTTTTTCACCGAAAGCAACGTCTGTTAAATCGGTTCTAAAAAATTTATCGATTAATCACCTCACCCTAGTTGTGCAAATACCAAGGGGATTTCAGGGACAAAATAAGCAGAGTTAAGCCGTGCAAGACTATGAGCATGATCACACAAGTTTGTTAATTAATAAGCCAAGTCTACAAAAGGGCTCCATAAGCACACATTGGCATGTAATGGTTTAATTAAAACAAATGAAACAAACATTTAAAAGTTATTCTGATATACATTTATATTTTTTTCAAAAGGGCAACTCAATAATTATGGTTTTATTTTGGTTCAAAATCATTATTTACTTTATGAAAAGAAAACATTGTTCAAGTGATTAATCTGCCCCCTAGTGAGTGTGTACACTCTTGGGACAAACTCATTTTGATTAAAATATGTTTAATTAAATAACAAAATTTAGACTTGCAAGTCGTCGGTATAATTACACCACCGATTTCACCTCAAAAGTTTTAAATAATATCTACATCTATGGCTGTTTTGTGAGTTAATATTTTATAAGGCTCCTTGTATAACTGCATTTTGATGTCACTTCAGAACAGCGATGTTCATTGAAGAGTAGCATGTAAGTGCAAATTTAAACTAAGAATAGATTATGAGTCTTCATCAAAGTACAACTCAAGATAGTTTCTTTGTCCAGCTGGGATATTTGGTTTCTTTGGTGATGTTGTGTTTCCACTCCACTCACCACCTTTGTTTGGAATGTTTACGTATTCTGGTATGTCTGTGTCCATATCTTTCGAATGGTCCATGTCACTATTCTCGTACGCGTGTTCATCCTCGAGATCGTCATCCGATGGCATGATGACGTAACTCTGGCTGCCTGTGCTCGATTGGTCGTCCTCATAGCCGGCGTCGATCATTTCACGTGTGTGGTTTGCATTGGGATCTTCTGCGGCAAGTGCGTCGATGTCGATCTCGGCATAGCTGCTTTTTTGCGTCTGTGTTGGTTCCTCGGCTGCATATTTAAAGTGGTTGGCCGGCTTAACCGTACAGGTCATTAGGATCGGTGCAGATTTTAGTACTTCGCTGACTTGTTCTATCGTCATGTTGCTAACATTGACACCGTCAACATCGAGAAGTTGGTCACCTAGGGGAAAATAATATGAAGTGATGGTAAGAAAAGTGACAGATTATATCCGGGGTACAGCTCAATGAAATGAAATAAATGACCGTCAGTGTGACAAAATTTGACCTAACACATTCTAGTACAGAGACGGATTTTTGTTTGGGGGGGTGGGGGGATAAATATATGGGAGGTGCTGCTGCTTGCTTTGGCGGGGGCCTCGAGTGGCAACGCCCGGAAAGGCCAAGGAAAAAGTTTAACAAAATTGTTTTCTAGGCCTACATGGCAAGATCTGAGACCATAATATTGGTAATTTTACAAATTTAGTAGTAAGAATAATCAAATATGAAACTATGAAATCATAATTTGTGGGGGTGCAAAAACTTTTGGGGGCGGTGCCAAATGCCTCTGGGGATGTGCAAATCATTTCTGGGGGAATGCGCACCCCCCTAGAAAATCTGTGCCTGTTCGTGCCTGACACACGCCAGGATAAGAATCGTATATGACTAGTCATGGTATTGTGTTGATGGATCTTTATCATTGTAACATCCTCATTTTGGAGTTGTTATTATGTTACTCTGTCTAACACCAGATGATTTTACTTGTCAAGAGGAGAGTACTTGCACTCAGTGAGCTAATATTCAGCTTCCACAATTTATGCTGTTTGATTATTACTTCATGTCAGTTGCATCATGCGAGAGTTCTGAGTGCTTCAAGTTCAATGTGCAAACATTGCCAGGTGATAATTTGATCCTTTCAACCTTCATCTTTTGGACAATAAAAATCCACAAAGAGGAACTGTATTTCCCAATTTGCAAGCATATGTGATTCGAAAAGAGGCCTAATTTACATTCAAATTGGAACGACATAATTGATATTAGCCCGTCACATGTGACATCAATGCAAATTATACAACCAAGCAAATTGTTTTTCTAAAAAAAGCGATGAGTTGAAAACTTGTAAGCAGAAGCTGTCACAATGGATACTACAAATGCTGGACTATTATGTTACATAACCTTTCTATCCAGATAAATATATTGCTAGTTAGATGCATGATTCCGATATGATAAACCTATTGTCTCGAAATAGACCCTCTGCATTTTTAATGCAGGAATTCACATTATTTTCCCACTATGATAAGTAGTGCAACCGAACTTTTAAGCCATATGTTATTTTGTTACATAAAACGTCAAGTGATTTTACTTCCCTCCTCCACGAGTAAAATTGTCTGTTATTTAATAATACCTTATAGAGAGCATTTGAGAGCATTGCAGCTTAAACAATGGGTTAATAACCTTAGCCAATACTGTATCAACCTGCATATTTATATAAAACAACAACAAAACCTACCAGGTCTCAGCACCCCTGTTTCGGCGACTGGACCGTCCTCGACGATTCGCGTTACAAATACACACCCATTGACGCTTTTAATTCTTACGCCAATTCCTTTCGTTGGATCTTTAAACAATTTAATTCGCTTGAGATCTCCGTTTAAACGCACACTTCGTCTGCGAACTGGGTCTTCCTCCTCGGCTTTAAAGAAGTCGTCTTTCGCGAAGTTTACGATCAAAATCCAAGCATCTCTTTCCTCTGGCGATTCGCAATTCATAATATGTTTCTTGCCCGATTTCGTGTGTATACTAAAGCAATGATCCTTGCTTTTAGCTTTCGAAAAATGTTTGCCGACCGCTAACACGTCTGCGACGAAGATTCGGCCCATTGGTTTCGCTCTGTTTGTGTGGTCCTCCTTTTTGAAAAAGCATAAAACTTCGCCGTTTGTTTTGAAGTAACGCTTTCGCCATTTCTTCAAGACCCTGCTTTTCTTTTCAACGAATCCTTCTTTCAAAACTTTTGGTTTGTACGGCGCTTGTTGGGTACTTTTCGTCGTTTCAGAACTCATCTTGCGCCGAGTATTTATGAATGTTAAGTTGTTTATAATGACCCTCCTCCTTTATAAAGCAATATCCAAAATGTAAATTCCTGTACATACGCGGACAAGATGTAGCTTCTTTGCCCCTTCAGGTCTTTGATAATTTAACGTGTGAAAGTTTTACTCGTGACCTTTCAAATTCAAAGTATTCAGAAGTATGTAAGATGATAATCTCGATCCAAGTGCGTCTGAACTTGAACCCACACGGAAGGGAGGGAGAACTGACACAATGGCAAAATGCACAGTAAATTTACATCGAATTTTTATAACCGGATGTCGGGTTAAAATCACTTCCACGTAACATAAAAAGTTCCAAACAAATTATTTTTAAGCTTTTGTTACTTAAGTTAATACCTTTTGTATAGGAATAGAATTGCGGTTGTCTGTAGGAGCTACTGGTGTATAGAATCCCATTTATGGTGCTCCTAATTGTGGGAAAATAACATGGGTTTTTGTCGCTTTTTGTGACCTCAAAAAACCATTTAGGCGTGACTGTAATATATTGGTACTTCAAGTATTAAAAGGTTCTTATTGGCGAAATGTAGCAATTTGTTGTCAAATATCATCTTGCTATATTGAGAAATATCTTTATAAACTTGAAATCATCTCTACGGGCTGCCAAACAGAGACACAACAATCTTTGTTTATACTTGACATCAGTTCTACTGTTCTTGCCCAGTATTAAAGGGCCGGTGATGGCTAAACTAGCTCATTTCATATGCTCGGGAAGCAGTACATTCTAAACTCTTCTCCTTCAGGGGCCAGCAAGCCCGCAATATCCTGGATAAAATCTGCCACCTGTAGAACAGTTTAGAACTGATGCATATGGGGATGTCCAGTTTGTTTTCATCATCGCATCCTGGGCGGAATTTCAGGTGGCTTTGGCGGACTGTTCAAAAAATACCGCAAAAAGTACAACATGTATATTAAACGTTTATGAATTATGACGCGTCCTGTATTTCAAGCGTCGGTTGTACAAACCTCTTAACCATTTTTTACAGTATCTCAGTGCCGTTTTCGTTTATCAAATTCACTTATTAAAGTTGAATTTTTCGGTACGAATAAGGAAATCCTAACACTTTATTTATATGTCATTAAATCAATTCCTGGGATTATTTCAAGTCTATAAAACAGCTTGATAATCTTCTACGCAACTCGATAGTCTTGAGGCATATAACACACCCTAATTAACTGACCGTGCCGACATATCAGTTGCCAGTTGGAATTTTATTTTATTTATTTTGTCAGAAAATCGATTCCCCCTTCAAAAACCCGGACATTACTCATATGGGTGTAGACATGTAAGATCATTTTTTATGTCTTTGAAGTCACAGAAATCGAGCAGGAAAAATTTGGTGAAAAAAATGTGATAGCATATACCCTTGGTTTAGAGTGTTTTTGGTGTCAGGCGAGTTTTGTAACTCATGCAGGGTATATGTCATTTTAATTTAGTTCGCGCATGAAAACTTCTAGTCTTCTATAAACTTTACTTCTCAGTATGTTAAAAGTCTTTGTATATGTTTATGTTATTTGAACTATTGCCATTTTCCTTTCATAACTGAGTTTCTCTCGCCGGTGTAGTTTGTACACGTGCCAGGAAATCGGAAATCGAATTTGCGGGAAATTTCATTGACAACACCTCGGACAACACGTCACGGCTGTCGTTACAAGTTTGTGTCGGGTATACGTGTATATGGGAGTGTTTGAGTCACCGCACGTCCTTTGTGAAACCAGGGTGAACCCACCAATTGGTTCAATGCAAGGACATGTTCGATCCATGTGGACCATGAAATAAAAATGCAATATATAGTACTAAACGCCAATCAGTCAAGGAAGTTATATAAGGAAATCACTAGTTGACTACAAATTAAACACAGTAGGATGAAAGTCGTGAAACAGTCTTTAGGAAATTTCTTGGGAGATGTGTTATAACATGTTGCTAAGTAAACGTTCCTAAACTTCAATAAACCGCCCACTAAAATGTAATATATTGCCATATTTGTTAATGTAGGTATAGCATGTGGGCGAAATGCCGATATCAAGTGGGTACGTATTAACGTATATCTCCCACTACCCTATGGCAAGACCCAGTAATTAATCCAGTGTTTATACCTCTACAGGTGTAAACTTGCATGTACTAAACTTAAACTACTGAATATATCTCCATTAGTAAACGTAGTTATCCTTTTTTTCCTTCCAAATTACAGTAAAAGAGCTTCAAATAGTTTAATAATGAAATGGACCAAATGGCAAAAAGTAACTCGGGGTTATCAACCCACGGTATTACTAGTTTACTACCCGGAGTTATTTACCCTGGATAGTACTACCCGGAGTTATTTACGCAGGATAATAATACCCGGAGTTATTTACCCACGATATTAATACCCGGGAGTTATTTACCAATGATATTGGTACCCGGCGTTTTGTACCTAGCAACAGAGAAGCTTTCTTTTCTGGATGGATTTTGTTTGGGAAATTTTGCAAACAAAATAAGGATTTTTGGCGATAGATTTGAGCCGATTGCACTAATCAGCTTTTCTTTGGATGTATATTGCTCCATTTTCACTTAAACATGTGCTGAAACTGTTAAACAGAAAAAATTGCGTGAAAAAAACAAGAAATGGAAACATGAAATTGCAGCTCATTGAAAAATGTGGGTGAACGCGCTGCTTTTGTAGACTTTGTATACCGGTATTGTGAAAGATTTAAACTTTTTATAATACAGTAAGAACTGTTCTGAGTAAATACATATGGCAAAACTTTTAAAAAGCTTTTGAAATCATTTAAAATGTTGGTTAATGTGTGACAAAAATTAACAATATTAACTAATATATTAAATCATGGCTTCTTTGGGGCCCAAGGCAGTGATATGTTATATATGTGGTCGGAAGTATGGGACATCCTCGATTAAGATTCATGAACCCCAATGCCTTAAGAAATGGCATATAGAAAACAAAGAATTACCAAAGCAAATGCGAAGACGGCCGCCGGTTAGACCTCAAGGTTTTGGCGAGTTTTCAAAAGATGGCGGGTCACTTGGCAACCAAATAGATGTAATGAACGAGATGTCGTACGAAAGCTCAAAAAAACAGCTTCTACCTTGCGAACACTGTGGTCGGACATTTCTCCCGGATCGGTTACCAGTCCACCAGCGGAGTTGCCGACCTGGTAACGTGGCTAAACCTGGCCGGGGTAACCCTGCCCAAAGTGGTAGCATGGGTACCGGTGGTTCCAATAGATTTGGTTTTCGGGAGCAGCCAAGAGAACCGGTTAAGCCAAAAACGATTGTTTGTTATATTTGTGGCCGCGAATTTGGGACTGCATCCGTTTCAATTCACGAGCCGCAATGCTTAAAAAAATGGAAGATTGAGAACAACACCCTACCCAAACACATGCGTCGACCCGTTCCAACCAAACCTGACGTCCTGCCGAGTTTGACTGGAAATGATAACGATCACCGTGAGCGGAGGAATATGATGGCCTACGAGTCGGCAAAACAGCAGTTGGTACCATGTCCAAATTGTAAGCGGACATTCCAGCCGGACAGATTGAGTGTCCATCTTAGATCATGCAAGCAGAAATTGGCCAAGACTATATCTTCACCAAACAGTAAGTCTGATATGTGTTAATATGAAGTGTTTTCAATCTTTTTCAGTCATCAGTATTTCACATATTAATAATATAAATCACAGGAGAAAAATTGATAACATCAACTTGGATCGGAGAATAGATTGTAGCACTAGTACAGTAATTCTGTGTTTCCTGAAAATTTTTTTTCTTTTCAGTATTTTCAAGTGGGTAATATTTTTGTTAATTTTTCTAACCACAGACAGGTTTGGATTCCAAGAGCAGCGGCAATCACCAACATTCCAGCCACAGTCGCCAACAACCACCCCACCCAGAAAACCAACAACCACCCCGCCCAGAAAACCTGGCCAAAATAGAACCAGAAAACCACCACAGCCTAATCGAGGACAGTACGACTCAAACAACAACATTGATGACACAGACTACCCTCGTGAGAGTTCTAATTCCTATGGGAATGGTTTTAATTCGCATGGGAACACTGGTTCTAATTCCTATGGGAAGATTTCTAATTCACGTGGGAATAATTCTAATTCCTATGGAAATAATTCTAATTCCTATGGGAATAATTCTAATTCCTATGGGAATAATTCTAATTCATATGAGAATGATTCTAATTCATATGGGAACGCTAGACCTGGTTCTAATGGCAGTAACAGATCTGGCTCGAACGAAGCACGAAAAAACTCCGGGTCGCAAAGAAATCGTAAGAAACAGGTCTCCAAGAAAGCAAGTGCGCCAAGTAGAGTCAACGGTGGTTTTGGCGGTTCAAATGTTGATCAGTTTGCCGCTCCGGGAGGGCTTGGAACCTCGGGCTTAAATGATCCCGACGCATTTCAATCAGGCAGTAATGGTAATTATCTCGTGCCATGCTTCAAATGTGGGCGAACCTTCGCAGCAGATCGAGTGGAGAAACATCAGACTATCTGTAATAATACCAAACAAAGGAAGGTGTTTAACTCCACCAAAAATCGAACAGAGGGCACCGAGGCAGCGGCATATAATAGACCAGGAAGAGCAAGCAGTAATAAACCACAGATGCCGAAATCCAAGTCTAACTGGAGAAAAAATCACGGTAAGGCAAAACATTTTAATACCTGGGTTTCCGGTTTTTGTACCCTGCTAGCTTTTGGCTATTCAAAACACCGACTTTAATATTTTTATTTGAAATTTGCGAACAGCTTGGAGCAATGTATCATACCCAGTTTGTGGTGTTAGTTTTGTATTCGTAGTTGATACGAATGTGATTCATTGTTTTGAAAATCCCACTGTTCTCCATGAGACTTCCATGCCACCTAGTCATGATCCAGTAATGTTCCATTGTCTTTTCATTTTTTTTTAAATCCCACTGTTCTCCATGCTACCCTATCGCAATGTTCCATGCTATCTTTTCACTGTTTTAAAAATCCTACTGTTCTCCATGGCATTCAGTCACTCGTTGTTTTAACACACAGCTATTTGAAGAAATAGAGACTGATGATAGCCTTTAGATAGCTGATAAGCTTTATAATCTTCCACCACGTAATGAAACTGCTAATATGACTCTTAGATCCAGTCATAGATTTAACGTTGCATTTCAAACTAACCGTTTTAGAAATAGTTTTATTATACATAATGCATTAAATTTAGACGTGTAGTGTACGAGTGTATAGTATTTTAATATTTTCTTGTAAATATAAGCGTAATTCAGCCTATATTGCTGCAATGTTTATACGAAATGAACCATCTATCAAAGACCATCCATCTATTTATCTATCTAAAGTACTACTTTTAACGATCTAAATCTTTCCTTTGCAGAGGACTTCGTCAGAGCAATTCGCGATGCAAAGAAGGTTCAACAATATGTGAAGAAGGGTGGCAATCTGTCAGACCTTCCCCCTCCACCTGCCAGCGAGAACCCCGACTACGTCTACTGTAAACACTGCACCCGGCGTTTCGCCCCGGAGACCGCAGCAAGACATATTCCAAAATGTGCTACAACGTTCAATCGACCTGCCCCACCGAAACAACGGGCCATCCCTCTTGGTGGAGGGCGTGCTAGGGGTAGTGGTGGTAGGGGTAGCGGTGGTAGGGCTAGAGGTGGCGCGCGGGCTAGAGGCGGTGGGCGTGTTCTCTGGGGGTAATCGTACATTGTGTGTGTATCATTCTTTGAAGTTTTATTTATTTTCACCACCGGTACATTTGCACAACACTGCACTTTCCAAGAACGTTTATGCTATATAGACGCACAATCATGTTATTATAAAATGACTAAATGGTAAAACTTAAGCCCTGGACAAACTAGGAAACATTGTTGTGGAAACATTGTTTTCTACCAATGTTTCGCCATGTTTCCCAGAGTGGGCAAACACTAGGAAACATTAGTAAGAAACATATATAGGGAAACATTGATCAAATGTTTCTGAATTCGCTACGAAACATTTTTGCTTCTCGGGAAGCAAAGTTTGTTTCCGCAACAATGTTTCCGCAACAATGTTTCCGCAACAATGTTTCCACGGGTGGGCAAACAGGGAAACATTTGAGGAAACATCGAGAATCACAAATGTTTCCACAACAATGTTTCCTAGTTTGCCCAGGACTTTAGTTGACACGAATGAAATTAAATATTAAGCACAAGAATTCATAGACAAAACGCGGAGTACATAGTCGAACCTCTGAGCATAAGCAAACCAAAGCAAAACAAAGACATATCAAACGGGGTTTTTTTTTTCTGCTTTGTTCTTGCAAAGAACATATACGGTATTAGGTTAAGATCTCTTATGCATTAGAGTCCCGACGAGGATATGAGAGTTGATGAGGGTTCGCAGTCCCGCATTGTTACAGGGGACATTTTATGCTCTAGATTAACAAAATAAAGGTTTGATGAATGTTCCAACTACAGTATGTTTTCACGTAAATAAAATACATGATAGTGTTGGGAAAGCATTAAGAACAGCTAACCAAGCTCGCGTGACTGCTAACTCTCATGCACTTTCACGGAAACGTTTCGGCCAGCTAGAACGGTTTGAAATCAACGCACCACTGTAAAATCAATTTTAGCATGACTATTATTACAAAAATTGCACATATTGTATATTACATAACTAAAATAAAACTACGCTTCGGTCTGCAAGTTCTGTTTTACAAACAAAAACAGCGCCGTACTAGAACATACAACAAATCCTATACTACCAAACGACGTGTAGCCGAATCGACTAAGTAATAAACCACCAATTGTGGGTGCTAATGTTCTTATTAGAGCATGCGTGGCGAAGGAAATACCAAGGACGAATCCCGTGTCCTCTGGCGGGACTAGCTTGGTCAGGATGGAGTTGGTGATCACACCAAATAACGCACCGCCAAAAACGAGGGGTATCACCATCACACAAAGATGAAGTGCACTGGAGCTGAAGAACTATGGAAAAGATTGAATGGAATTTCATGGTGTTAGTTGGTTGAAAATAGCGACACACTTCTTGATTACAAAAAGTGCTACCCATTTGTGAGCTCCAAGATGTTTATTTGGAAAATGTGCGTTGCAAAGTACTGTTCCATCGTTTGTAAGCTATCAGTTAAGATATTTTGTAAGATGTCACTTCCAAATTACTGTTCCATCGTTTGTGAGCTATCAGTTAAGATATTTTGTACGATGTCAGTTCCAAATTACTGTTCCATCGTTTGTCAGCTATCAGACTGAGTTAACATATTATGTGAGATGTCAGTTCGAAGTTCGTTTTAATCAATCACAAAATATATCGCATCAGAGTTGGCAACTCTGACCTTCAAAGCCAAACGTAGATGCACGTTCAAACTCACCAAAAGGATGTAACCAAAAGAACATAAAATCATGGCTAGGACCAACGTGTTCTTCTCATTCATTCGTCTCGTTACAAATCCCACACCAAAACCTTGTGCGAGCTAGAAAATGGAACAAAACAGATTTATAGAGACATGAATGACTCTATCGGACTATCCAGAGACCTGTGCGGGCTGTGCTGTTGGTAGATACCCAGAATCCTCATATTTACCCAATACACCTTACGTTGGCATCATTGTAGTATAATATATACACGAACTTGTGGCTAGAGCTCGACAACTGGCCTCTGTGGCTCAGTTGGTAAGAGCGCCGTATCTTGCCAGAGCCAGAGGGCCTATAGTTGAATTTTTCGTAACTCCTCCTGGGGCTGTGTAGGCCTTAGTAATAAATGTAAAACATTTAAAAATCCTTCAAACTGCATGGAAGCACTCTCTTCACGTACGTCATGCATTTATCAGGGTGAACAAGCTTTCGTTGGTACTACCTGAAAAATATAAGGAGAATTTCGAAGGCCTTTCGTCTGGAGTTACTGAAGAGACGAGGGGCCTTCCCTACCATTCTACCAACGAAAGCTTGTTCATTTGATTGGCACTACCTATACTGGCAAAGGCAGTTCAAGATTTATCAGGGTGCTTGCCACATCACGTATTGATAAGTTGAACTTACTATCATAAGAGCTCCAATATATGACATAAACATGCCATGTTGGGCTGGAGTCAGACCAAAGGTGTTTACAACGACCAAGGCGAACATTGACTGAAATATTCCGAACGGCAAACCAGAAATAAGTTTCATTAAATAGATAAAACCGACGCCCGGTGTTAGCATGAGATCTTTGATTCTTTTCAAGTCAAATAAAGACGTGGACGACTCCTGCTTGGGCTTTGAATCTATAAAAAATAGATTCATGTTTGTCTACACGCTGTTGTAATGCTTTTAAAGAGAGTTTAACCTTGAGATTATGGAATGAAGAGATCAGAATATGTGATGTGGTAGATACTCCAAGGCTGAGATGGTATGGACACGTAATAAGAAGAGATGAAGGACAGCTGGTCAGAGATATTGTGGAATGAAGAGATCAGAAGATGCGGGGTGGTAGATATTGCAGAGAAGGTGAGGGAAGCAAGGTTGAGATGGTATGGACATGTAATAAGAAGAAATGAAGGAGAGCTGGTCAGAGACATTACGAAATGAAGAGATCAGAGGAAGATGTGGGGTAGTAGACATTGCAGAAAAGGTGAGGGAAGCAAGGTTGAGATGGTATGGACATGTGATAAGAAGAGATGAAGGAAAGCTGGTTAGAGATATTATGGAATGAAGAGATCAGAAGATGTGGGGTGGTAGACATTGCAGAAAGGTGAGAGAAGCAAGGCTGACATGGTATGGACACATAATATTAAGAAGAAATGAAGGAGAGCTGGTCAGAGACATTATGGAATGAAGTGATCTGAAGAAGATGTGAGGTGGTAGACATTGCAGAGAAGATGAGAGAACCAAGGTTGAGATGGTATGGACACATAGTAAGAAGAGATGAAGGAGAGCTGGTCAGAGACATTATGGAATGAAGAGATCAGAAGAAAGTAGACATTGCAGAGAAGGTGAGGGATCAGCATTTAGGTTGAGATGGACATGGTGATGTGAAGAAGACATGGGGTAACAAGACTGAGGGAAAAATTAGATTTGATGTTCATTTACCTACCTATCTTTCTTGTGAATTTTGGAATAAATGTGATGACAAATGTTATCGCAAACACAGATAAAATTGCTGCTGACATCACAGCGGCTTTCTGAGAAAAATATTTTGCTATTTGTCCACCAATAAACGGGCCTAGAATGACCCCTGCTCCGTAGGAGAGGCCAAGTTGACCCAAGGCTACTGCACGCTCTGTAAAAACATTAATTAAACAATTAAGTTTTTATTGCAACTTATGCTTTTACAATGACATTTTTGAAGCAGTTGACAATTTGATAAAATATACCTTTGTGGCTTGTCATATCTGTCATGACCATCTGGGCACCTGTGGCCAATGAAAAGGCAATAAAGTTAGTCTATATTACAGTATACAGACCTTTCTAGATACTTTTAATATAGCATGACTGTGTGTATAATTTACCTTGAGCTCCATGCATTAATAAGCCAGGGATTCGTGAAAAAAACAGCATGGCTGAACTGTTTGCGACTGCTATAACAAAGTACATCAAACATCCACAAGTGTGGGCCAAGACAAGAACTGCTCGGCTACCGAACATGTCACCAAGACGTCCATAAACTGGTCCTCCTAACAACTGTAGTGCAGCAAATGCCGTCTGGAGATAGCCATATGTGACCATGTCAACCCCAAGTGATTTGGTTATATACTGTGGATGGAAAGTTTTTGAAATAGTTATAAAATAGACATTTTTTGCTGGGTAGCAGTCTCTATCTGCAGTTCTTTATTGTTCTCTTTAACATTTAGCAAGGACCTTTCCCTATTAGTGTTACTATAGGGGGAAACCAATTATTTCTATCGAATAACTCTATCAGTTCTAAACCGTTCTCCCTGAAGTTTTAATGAAAGCCATAATACAGTAACAGGTTAAGCTGTTAATGGGTTAACAAAACACGTTGGAAAATAGTATAGTTAACCATTAATGTGCAAGACTTTTGCTTTGACAAGTAAAATAGTCTGGTGGGATGCATTAGGGCACATTGCAGCTAAGTGGGTTAATATATTACAGCCATTAATTCATAATATAAAGAAATCTATTTGCCATACTGGATAGACACCAACATTGATCCAATAGCATGCCGAATACATGACGTTACAGAAATGAACAGCTACGATTAGCAGCCATTTATTCTCACTGGGGCTTGTCTCTTGTAAATCGTCTTCTTTATTCGATTCCTGACTGTCCCCAGACTGGCCAGACAAATTTGACATGTCAGTCGATCTATTTTCAAACGGACCCGATTCCTTATTTGAGAGCCTTTCCTTCAAAACGCTTGACATTGTTACAAAATGACATAAAAGTATAAATTAAATAGCTAAAATAGAATTAAAAATTATAATTCGAATGTTTGTTTTGATATTAAAAGGCCACGTCTAGGGAGTTTTCTCCGGGTACAAAACTCGTATTTTGAAATGTCGTATTTCATTAACTTTTTAAAATTACATTTTTCCTGCTGTATACTTCATTTTAAATTGAATTATTATTAAAATGAAGTGTATATTAGCGGACGAACGTCTTAAACAATAATTTGAACAAGTTTATTGCCTAAAAAAGGCGTAAAAAATTTGAAAACAGCAAAAATACTTGAAAATCAGTAGCACTGTCAGGCATTGCGGGCTGCTAAAACATATTTGCCGAAATGAAGTACTATAAAGTCGGAAAGAAGTATTAAAGTTAACAACAAAATATTCACTGGTTTAAAAGACAACATATCTATTAGATTTTGTCGATTATTTACAGTAAATATAACATTTTAACGAGCATTTTATATATTAGACAAGCCCTCCCTAAAATCAGGTTGTTTCTTCTCGTCCCATATCTCTGGCAGCTCGCGATCTTTATTGTTTTGCAAGATGGCTTCTGCAATGCTGGTAAGTCGTGCTTTTGGTCATGCCTTCGTGTTTGTTCTATTTCTCATTTTTTGTTTTGATCTGCAGATATATCTAGGCTTATAGTTGTTTACTTGTTTAGGGGGGAGTTGGATTGCATATAGTATTATTATATTGCATGTTTCTATATTATATTTTTCTAATTTTTGCTTGTGGTATTGTATTTCAGTATTTCGAATGGTTTATATATTGTACAAAAAAGATTTCATGTACAAGCTAACAATGAACTATTTAATGATCACGAATCATTACCTCCGTGATGTGTAAATCATCTGCCAACTTCTGCTTCAGTTGTCCGGAATATTTGGGGAATTTTCATACTGTAGATGATGAAGGTGTACCAGTCTGTGATCTGACAAATTATGGACCATTCCATTTAATGGATCTGGATATCCAATGGGGAAGGGGATGTTTTCACCTTAAATTTTCCTATGGGGTGGCTTTTAAGAGATTAAAAAAATGGCAAAAATTTGGTGTGGGGGTTATAGGATTGCTGAAAACTGCATGCATACTTTACAGCCACAAACTCGTGCTGCAAACCCGTGCTACAAAGGTATGCTGGTATCCTGCATACTTTGCAGCCACAAACCTAGAAAAAAACGAGATGAATGCACAATATAGTTCAAAGAAACACCTCAACATTGGTGGAGGTCCAGCAGCTATAGGCTTGTTTTGAAAGCCGTACTGGGAGTCAATACTTATCTTGTTATTAATACATTTCTATTACAGAGAGCGAGTAAAATTTTGTGGTGGGTTGCTCCACCCGCGGCAGGTCTGACGTATCATTTAACCACGCTCAAGGCCGCTGATAATCCAAGGAAGAAAATTGATCCGAAAGATGTAAGAATGTTAGGATTCTCATTTCATCTTTACTAAACTAAATGACACTAAGTTTATAGATGCACAATTTTGTTAATATGTCTAATATAAACTTGTGTGTATCTACGAAATCAACTCTATTTGTCAAAGGAGTTGGCAAGGTTGCCCACCCCACACCCCACCCCCAGGAAATCTAATGGTCCACCACATAATGTAATTATTACGGTGGCCAACTCGAAAGCTTATGCTACTTTAGTCTTTGGTCACCGTGCACAATTTCAATATCATAATTTAAAACTTTTTAATGTATATATACCGAATATACATCATGAATATCTCTTCTAATGTAATATTATAGGCTTGGGCGGTTTTGCTTAAAATCAAAACCGAAAAACCATCTGATTCTAAACCGGTAAAACCGAAAAACCGTTTTTTTTCCTTTAATTTGTATTTCAACTGTATGAGGAGGAATTGTGGTATTTTTCTGTCATAAGCAAACGAACAGTACATGACAAAACGCAAAATTGTGCAAAGGTAACCTAAAACGACTTCAGTTTTAAAATAAAAGGGTCAAGAACGCATTTGAAAACTTATACCTCTTCAGTTCTTACCGACTTTATGGAAAAAGAATAGAATTTGTATCTAGTGTCATGTAATTGAGTTTAATTGGTGTCATGTTTTGAGAATTAAGATCGAGTTTCAGGCGATGACAGTAAACAATTACGTAATGACGGTTTTCCGGTTTTTGTAAAAGCTAAACCGAAAAAAACGGTTTGAAAATAAAACCGAAAAAAAACGAAAAACCGGTAAACCGCCCAAGCCTGCTACTTTAAGGATGTTCTTTAAAGCTATAATGATAGATTTTGCCCTTCTTGTCTGGATCAAAATTGAGTCTATAGCTGGAATCAACCATTGCCACATACCCCACTAGCAAGTGGATAGAAGTTAAGTGGTCTTGAAGGTTCCAACCATCGACCTCGTTCATTCTCTTCTTCCAAGAATAAGCCATAGTTTGTTCCTGAATGATAAATAAGATTTCATGTAACTATACAGTCATTCCTTGCCTGGTATAATACTGGTGGTCAGAGCTGCACCAGAATGCAGGGCGCAGGCGATTCCTGAACTCTAGAGGCCTATAGTTGAATTTTTCACAGCTGCTTGAGGCACTTCAGGTTAGGTATAAAATTGTATATAATAAATCTACAAAAACCCTTTAGCTGTTACAAGGTTTCATACAGCATATATGGTGGTCAACTTGCAGTTATTCAAGTGAAAAAATAATGTTCATGCTTTTCGTTATATGACATAGTAGTCTGGTATTCAGAGGCAAGTAAATAGAATAGAGAGATGTAGTTTCATTTGCTTGCTCCTAAACATGTCAACACTGCTGAGTTTGACCATCATGTGCTGCTCCATAACACTGACTGTAACCCACCAATAGAAACTGAATATCTACATGCTAATTATATATTCCCAACAATATAAACCATTTCTTTATTATGGAAACTTACTTTCACCCTCAGTGGCCTGAGGTACTTTCTCGTCAATAATTCTCAAAGCATCTTGAACTAATATGGTTGGTTCAAACTAAACATACAGCATTCATATTATTATTTATTGCTAAACCAAGGTTTTCGCAGACTGCATCTAGCTTGAGGTGTTTGGTAGAGTCAAACTACAGTTCACAATTGCGTGCACTATAATAAAGCATGGCATGCACTCATAGGGATAGAACTACCTGAAAAATACAAGGAGAACTTCTACGTTGAGTGAAGGCCCCTTCGCCTAAATTCCCAACAAAGTTTGAATCTCCTTGTATTTTTCAGGTAGTTGTATCTCTATTGATCTGCAGCTTTCTTGTATCATTGGCACTACCTACACTGGTACATACGGATCGTTAAACAAAATATTACATACTGTGTTGCATTTTCTAGGCATACCTGTAAAGTTTTGATGGTCTTTTGTTTCACTAAATTCACCTTCAGTGAAAGGGCAGCCATGTTTGACCCTGTTTAAAGCTTTTACGAGAAAATGAAACTATATGTTACACTACAGACTATTTATACCAAGTTGGGATAACATAAAGTTGGTTTATGCTATATGAAATTTTTGAAATTGTAGTGATAGAAATAGCAAGCCATTGTAATTTGGCAGTCCTGACACCAAATTTGATGCTGGTGCTTATTGTATCATTCCCTGCTGGCAGAGGTCTCCATTTGTGCAGGGTAGCGAAGGAGAAGAGATCTCTGCGGTAGATCTGACACGTTTTCTGTCGCGCATGTGCAAAAATTGCCATGACAGCGAGTGATGTTCACCATGTGATATCAAACCGTTTTTTGCGGCAGCAACTTAGTAAATCAAAGACCTACCGTACACAGTTTGAAGGCAAACAAATGTATCTTGGCCCGATTTTTAAAACAAAAAAGATTGCTTTCTTTTGTTCTTCTGTCACTGCTTTCACAGTTTCATCTTTGAAAATATCAATTACATAACTTAGAGCGCTTTCAAACAACATGAAAAACCTCGAAATGACCATGCTGGGCAAGCCGCCATTTTGACACTACAGGCTCAATGTCATTACAGCGTAATTCAGCTCTGAGCATGCATACTATTTGTTTCCCTAAACCGGTTTCAGAACTTGTTTTACAAACTGGTTTGACTCATCCACGATCATGGTCTGAGGAAGTGTCAGATCTAGACAGAGGTCTCTTCTCCTTTGCTTTCCTGCACAAATAGAGACCTCTGTCAGCAGGGAAATTGTACCACTCCCATACCAAAAATTGGGCTTTAGTGTAAGCAGCTAATTAGTACAAAGTACAATAGTACAAGGAAAAGTACAGATCAATAGTGAGAATGATTAAAACGTCGAAAGTAGAAAATCTATGTTGTGTACACAAGTTTGCAATTGTCAGGATGTCTTACAAGCTGGTCTGATTCTGGACAGCCCGACTCCATATAGCAAACAACTCTTCACACAAGTTGTTAAAATAATTTCATTTTACATTTCACAGCATAACTACACAGTTAGAGATCATAAATATTAACATATAAACCTGCTATATATAACAAGAAATTCCTTTTCAACAAAAGATATTGCAATATTTTGTATATAAAAATCGAAAACGCAAACAAACCCAAACATAATTGCCACATTGCCCAGTAATTGTTACATATACCAAACAATGTTTATATGCTAATCAAAAGCACTTATAATCAAAATTTCGAACACATCCTAAACGCTAAAGAACCAATTTTGGTAATTATTTAAACACAAATATTCCACAAACTTGAGCACGCATATGTTGACTAAACATGCCAAGAAATTTGACGAATATACGAGATATTACGCACCTAATTCGAGGCTAAATTTGGCATTCGAAAAATACTTTTAATATCAAAATCAAAGCATAGTTTTATCTTCAGAGAAGGCGCGCATTTCCGCCTGTGACGTCCAAACCAAAAACGTGAAAGAGTGTCTAGTATAATTAGTGTTTTGGGACTGCACAATTTTCTAAACAATCAGCATTAATAGCCTGAAATTGCTTCGTCTAAACGATAGTTTTATCATTCGAAAACATTCACGAAGATATAGATTTATACCATACAAGTTAAACGGACGAAGAGCACTCTATTTCTAACATGTTACAGAGCATATGCTTCATGTTAACGTCGTTAATTTTCAACTGACAAGGGAAGACTAATAAAGCGTACTACAAATATAAACCGTCTGTAATATCATGCAGACGTGATTGTCTGTACAATGTACATGTTTTTACTCGTATTTAAAATAAAACTACGACCATAAAGCCGTGGAATTGTAGTTAAAACATACACAAACAAACAGAGAAACAGATAAATGTATAATACCAATTGTACATAATCTCTGAAGCACATTAAATCGGAAAATAGTGAAGTTCTAATTCGACTAGTCTCGCTATACCCCCACAATCTGTCGACATAATTTCATTTACCTGTTAAGCGACGTCCCTCGTTCGTGTACGATGTTCAACGGTGTGTTTCAAAGTGTTAAAAAAAAGGCAAACAAGACCAAATATTCAACGATTTCTTGTATAAATTTTGAGCGAAACACTCCCTTATGAGCTATGTCTCGAATATTTGGCGATATCTAATACTTGTGGCCGAGCCAAAATTTATAGAGAGCTAGGGAGAGGTTTACGAACCCATTACGAGGCATTCCGAATGTAAACGAATGAAATTTAGGGTATTGATTTGCGTGCTGCGCGATCAATAATTTCGTGGATTTTACGTGGGCTTCGTGATCTTCGCGTGACCCATGCAAGAGTGGATTAATTGAACCAAATTTGACTCCCTTAATTTCATTTCGTAATAAAATTTTGCGCATGAAGAATGAGAAATCAATATGGTGCAAAAAATAATATACCATAATGATAAAAATGTTATCTTTTCCAACCCTACAGGGTCAATTGTGCACTAGCAGAGTCATTGCTATAAACATGTAATTGGTACATATATTTACATACTTACTTGCATAGCTATCATATTTGCATACTTATTTGCATACTTATATTTGCATAGATTTATAATTGCATAGATTTATAATATACTTTATATAGAGTTATGTATTATAGAATATATATGATAGAGTAGAATATATCGTAGAATATATGATATTTAAATACATAAATTGTACATTAACATTATACAGTACATGCAGTAACATTATACAGTACAGTATTAATATTATACAGTACAGTAACATTACACAGTACAGTATTAATATTATACAGTACAGTAACATTATACAGTACAGTATAGTAACATTATACAGTACAGTAACATTATACAGTACAGTAACATTATACAGTACAGTAGCATTATACAGTACAGTAATATTATACAGTTAAATGAGCGTCTTCATTATCTGAGGGTCTGTCTGCAGAAGACGAATTCTCTGACTCTCCACTGAGGTAACCATTACTATCCATCTCAACTGCATCGTTGTCTCTGCCTAGGGAATGTTCACTTCGTACGGACGCGTTCGGTGAACTGTGGCGTGTCTCTTCATTCTCTATATTGAACAAAGTTCATGTGGATGTTAGTTATTTTTTTGTTTATCAACACTGTTTACTTTACGTGTTAATCACAGAACGAAGCTATTTAAATATACAGATAATAAATCCTCAGTCGCATGTAAGAAGAACGACTAAAGTTTGACTTCATTAAACGCCGCAAATTTTCTCCAGATATACAGGTTCCCTCGATGTACAACAGCGAATGGCACTTTTAACCATCTGGACTTGATATAGCTATATATCCAGTATGAATAACGTTACTGCATGTAAACAGGTGCACAAATAATTAATCATGCATTTTGGGCCAAGAAAACGTCCCCAACATTACTTACTTTGGACAGGAGACGTAACGTAGGGATCATCTTCTTTCGCTTCCTCAGCAACAGAAACATTCAATTCGCCATAGCCACCGCTTTCAGATTTGCTGCTCTCCAATTTCAGCCTCGCATTCTTTTCAGCCATCTTCTGGTTTAGGCCTGAGCCGACTGTCTTGCTAGGTGAACTATTGGAATCTGAGAAAACAAACGATGTTTTGTTTGGTTAAAAAGTTGAGTGAATAAACTAATAAAAACAAGGAAACATGGAAATATTAAACATCAAATGTTGAAATTTAAAACAATGTTTTTTTACTCTTTGGACGGCGAAAAGATTTTTTGCCAAAGCTGGTTGATAATGTGCTTCTTCTTATTGTGCTCTCGCGGATAACGTCTCGCATCTGGAAGACATAAAACGATATATATTATTCAACACATTTAACCTGAAGAGGAGATGCAAACCACA